GGGGGGGGGGGGGGGGAGAGATTAAGCAAATCTTAGACAAGTACACATCTGGATTTTTTAATACTTTGGCTATATCCTCCCAAATAAGAGAAAAATGAGAAAAAACAAGCAAATGACGGGCATCACAATCTCTATTCAAATATATTCTGAAATCTATTTGGCAGAAGGACATTAACCAATAGGATTAGAATATGATAAGAGGTATGGTCCAGGCACATACACATTTGAGCATGTAACAAAATTTGTTACCATAGGAAGTTCACACAACAATTCAGAATAGAAGATCTAGAAACAAAGTTTAGAATCTAAAGGCCATAGCAAATAAAGCATGATTTCGTTTTGAAAGACAAATACACTTCAATTTCAAGCTCTTCAGCCAAAAAATCATACTCACTAATATCTCTTTATACATCTACATCTGCCAACTTGTGCAACAATAAATTTTGATGACAGAAGGCACCGCATTCAAACTTCTAACTAACACTTTATATTCATAGTAATTGAAAGTTCAAATAGTTACCGCAGATAACTACGTAATATTGCTAATGTGATTCAAAGACCATCAAGCCTCATTGTCATTCATATAGAAGAGCTCTAACTTACTTAAATGTCAAACTTATAGTTATATCTGGTTCAGCCAATTTTATGCAACATGGAGACACCACACCACTCTCACGCCCAAGCTCAAAAAAGGGGAGATGAAACCCAAGAGAACATAGTAAATCAAGTTAAGAATTTCTCATTACCTACATTACCTATCTAGCCTGCAGGAAAAATTCACAAGGAGTTTCTCTTACCTAGCCGGAAGAAATACTACATTTTCGCTGGCCTACTGACTTATCATGACAGCAGCAAGGTGCTTCAGTGTCAAAATGTCAAAGTACTAATGCCAAGTTTTATTTCTTTTTCACAAAAGGTTCAGCAGCATGAAAGAGCAAGGGGGAGCAGAAAGCTTCTAAGCTTCACATGGGAATGACTCAAGTGGTAGAGGTTCAAAATTGATGAGCAAGATGTAAAACAAACTTCTTTGTAGAACTTGAAAGAAGTTGATTTCTCAAATAGAAAGAGCAATCCAGTTATTTCTCTCAATGTTTATGTTTTATCTTCTTTCTTATTTGTATTACACTTTGACACCTTTCTTAAATTATAATTCAGAATAGTGAAACATTCTACCATAGATATGTCCTTTCTACAAGATGCTGCTACTATAAGCAAAAAGTGATACCTTTTGAGTAAAGCCAATATAAACATGCATTTGATGAGTAGTATTTAACAAAAAATTAACACCCTATTCCGTAGGTCATTCATTTATGCACCAAAAGTTTTTGTCATTGCATCAGTCCATTCTTAAATTCCTCTGATTTCCTTCTGACATTTTATGCCTCCTATTCCCACAATTAGTTTGATATCATAAATTATCACCATATTTACATTAACCTTAAAAAACACCTCCATCTTGGATATAAGAATATCCCAGCCAAATCAACCTTCTGATACCCTATTTACTTCAGAACACTATATATATATATATATATATATATATATATATATATATATATATATATATATATAGGGTAAACAATAACTGAAAGTGATAGGGAGGGAATCCATAATGCATGTAGCCTTTTCCTTGTGAAGACAACTGGGGGATGTAACTTCTAAGAGCTTACCAGTTGTAAAGTCAATCCTACATAGCAGATACAGAGAAATACATATTTGATACATACAATACAGTGGGGAAACATGATCAATAAATGATAGGAAGGGCATCCACGATCTCAGTACCCTTTTCCTCATGACAAAGAGAAGCGCAAATTTTAAATGGTATGCACTAGAAACTCATGGTGGCAAAGACAAGAAGTCTGGAAAAAGTTCGAAAGCCGCCAATGTCATATTTTACTGAAAACGAAAAACAAGCAGGATGCAGTAGACCTCTCCTCGTGCTTAAACTGGAGCATGGTAGCCTCTAATAGTTTGGTTCTTGTGACAAGATTTCTAGAAATAGTTCCGAAACGTGTGTAGAAATGTCAAAGAGAGGGAGAACGGTAGCAGTGTACATATGGAGGCAATGGTAGGTTTGATGATGGAGGAAGAACAGGACAGGATCTTTTTTTTTTGGCTGCTCGCACTACCCTCCCCAGACCCCTCTTGTGGTATTACAGTAGGTTGGTTGTTGTTGTTAGCACAATTCTATGCACAAACACTTCAGGCTCTAGGCATCGAGAAATTACTCAAGATATTAGCATTTACAAATTAAGGTGGGAGGCATTTGTAAGAAATAAAGTGGTTGTAGATTCTATCATCAAACCAATTAGAAAAACAGGGGTATACATGTCACAGAAAGAATGAGCAACAATATAAACAAACATCCTCTCTTATTTTTTCCTTTTGATAACCAAGAAATCCCCAAATTTCAGAACTCAGTGGATAACGGGCCTTCCCCTCTACCCTTCTCCACCCCATCCTCTGGTTAACATACAGAAACCAGCTAAAAACATCTAAATATCAAACCCCTAGACCGACCCACGGATGAAGCTCTAGTGGAATAAATGAATAAATTAGTGGATATCAAGTATGTAACACATGCAGACTTTTCCAGAAAATGCAAAAACAAGTAAAAATAAGCAAGGTCATAGCTGAAGTACTTCTCTTCTCAGGTGTCCATTATGGGACGAGACAGTGAGCATGCATGGATAAAAGGAACAAATTCTTATTATTCACAATGAACAAAATTAGTAATAAACATGCAAAAAGGTCACAAGTTAAAACGTTCTTAATAGCACGAACCACAAGATGAAGAGTCAGAATCACTACTCGAACTGCTTGAACTACTGCATTTATTGCTCCTGCGAGCTCTATCCTTCTCAATCTCCACAGGCGGGAAGCTTGAAGCAGGTGGATCATTCCCACCAATATCCACTTCCTCATCTGCCGGATCATTTCCTGTATAAAGAACGAAAACACAAAAAAAGGGAAAATGGAAGAGAAAAGGAAAGACCAAAGGAATCAGAAACCAGAAACTAGGCAATCATACTTATCAACTCAAAAGCTCAAATTCTTCACATCTACGGACTAAACTCACCTTTGCATGGTTGCATGGATGAATTGCTGAATCCAGACTCATCGTGAAGCTGCAGAACAACAAAAAATATGACATTATAATTTGCACACAAGAAGGATTTACTAATGTAATGTAGCATATGAAGCAACACATTAGGCATCCACATAACTGTATTTACCTCCATCTCACAGGGTTCACCTTTTGCCTGCTTTTTCTGTTTTTCCAGCAGATACTCATCCAAAAGCTTCCGTAGTTCGTACAAGATATCATCATTAAGAGCATCGAGATCAATCTCGATCTCGTCTTCACTAACTTGACTTCCATTGAAGCTTTTTTCTCTCAAGAAATCAATTATATTTTCAGGTAATTCAGCCAGTAAAGCTTCAATCTCCGCAGTGAGTTTATGCTTGTCGGCATCACTCATGACTCGCTTTACGGGCTCTGGTTTAACCTTGCTCTCCAGCGGAGCAACTTTCTTCTTCTTTGAAGGCGGCATTGCTAGAGGAGTATCAGTTTCAGTTTCTAAGATAACACTCGATTTAGAAGGTAAAGGTTCCTCTTCTATTATAGGAATCTTCTTTTCTAAGGGCTTCCATCTAACCTCGAAAAATTTACTAAGTGTTTGAGCCATGAAATGAACATCATTTCCTGGCGGATTATATGTCATTGCATTTCTAAAAGTGAGCCTCACATCTGCAGCAAACTGCAAAGGGCTCAAATATTCTCCGGAATGTAACTTTGATTTGACTGTCCCTAGGTCCATTGGTTGCTTAATAACAGTGAAATAGTCGGGGATTTTTAACTTTACAACATCAACTGGAGTATTAAAGACCCAACCATGCTGATGTGACATCAGTCGGTTTAGCAGTGTCTCACATTGTTTCATCAACATGACAGTGCTGGTATCTGAAGGGACGGCCTGTTTCATTGGCTTAGGCCGCTTAGCTCCTGATCCTTTAGTAAGAGGTCCATTTCTTCCCAGCACAGCCTTTTTCTTCCCAGGAGGCACCACTGCTTCAGTCAGACACCTCTGAGATATCTCTGATCCTGACCTCCTCTGCCCATCGGTGCAATTATGAATATTGCTAGCAGGTGAATGAACCGAAATATTAGAGTCGACAGAAGTAATTTTCTTCTGCAGTGCCCTGATTTGTTCAAGTTCATTCCTCAACCTAATTCCCAAACCTCTTCTCTCAGAACGTGACATCTTGGACAACGACATTACTTGAATAGGTACACCAAATCGATCATAACCATCAGCATTCAAACAAAAGGATTTCCTTTTAGGTGCACAAGAGTCTTCCGAAGCAGTCCTTTCAGTATCAACCCGTCCTGAGCTCCCAAAACCCTCTGATTCTGCCATTGTCTCAACAGCATTGCAAAAATCTGGCACAATCCCAGACGCGTAACCTTTAAAAACCTTGCGAGATTTTCCCATCATATCACCTGAATCCTTTTTAAACAACTTCTTGGATTCTCTCTGCCCAACGTAATCTATTGGAACAGTAGGTGCCATGTGGATAACCCCCCAAGTCCGCACATATCAACTATTTCTTCTCAACATTTTGATCCCCTCAAATTACACACGAACATGCCAAGTCGACAATTATGTAAGATATCAATAGCATTGGTATACGACAACTTTCACCATTTCGCGCAACGCTGAGTTCAATTAATTCGTCGCTTTCCCCTTTGTTCAAGATCCAGGTTTAAGACTTGCCTTGTGATAGCTCAGAATATATTCACATTCATTTCCTGTATAGTAACTCAATAACAGAATTCTGATTTATTCTGGGTTATGAATTTAAAGAATTGGGAATAAATAAAAGAATAACAGATTTAGAAACCCTAACCTCAAATCAAATTCCCTTCATTCAGAGACAAACCCAAAAGAAAAAGATCCCAACTTTTAATTAAAGCCCTAATTTTTTTAAAACTAAAAGGATAAATTACGACAACCCAAGAAGAATCCAATTGAAAACCTGGATCTCCCTAGATAAAGGCCTGAGATCTTATCGGTTCGGGTCAGACCCACCAACCCTAATCAAGGACCAAACCCTAGAAGGTAAAACCCTTCTATGCTTACGCTTGTGAGTTGCGAAATAAATATATAAAGGCACAAGAAGAGATTTGGAAAAGAGGAAAAGCTAAAGCTAGAGAGAGAAATAGAGAGATGAAATGAAATATATATAAAGAGAGAGAGAGAGGGAGAAAGAGAGTACTTACGTGATTGTCTTGTTGGGTCTCTTGATGCCACCCCTCTACTTAAAGGTAATTTGCAGCCCAGCCCGCCGCTCATTAACTAATCTAAACCGTCAGTTTTTACTCTTTATTTGATCGGACGGTTTTCCTTAATTTTCTATGCAGACCGTCAGATTCAGACTCGCGGCTATGACTCTTTTCAGATCTGTCAAATTGTTTTTCCAGTTGGGTTAATTTATCAATCTTACGCGGCAATCATTAATTAAGAAGTATATGCACGCGCTCCGAGAGAAAATGTGTTACACTGTAATAGGCGTACAATCCGACTTTAAATAACAACAACTTACTATAAAAACCAAACTTTTCCAAACCCAATTTTTAAGTTATGTTATAATAATAGCACTTCGTTATAACATTCAAAAATATTTGAAACAAACGAGATTATTATAGAGAGGTTTGACTGTAATAGCATTTGTGTGGTTATTGGGGATGAATATAATTTACACCTTGTTTAAGATGGTTGTTACCTGTTATATTGTATCCTACTTTAAATATAATATTTGTTTTGATTGGTACTTAAATTTTATTGTATCGTATTGTTAAGGGAAATTACATAAGTTGTCACCCGACCTATGGTCCAAATCCCGCTTACACACTTTTTGTGGACCATAATAACCTTACACACGCAACCTTTCTAAAGTCTGCCTATTACACACCTCCTTTGACCAGGTCTAAGCATGTGTAATACAAACTGGACCAAGCGCGTGGACAGTATTTCAAGACAATTTCTGTCTTTAATAAACGGTCAAAAACACATTCCAACGACCCTTTTTAAAAGATTAAAAGGGTCTTAACCCATTTCTATCTATACTAGGACCCGATTTTCATCATCTTCTTCCTCCTTGAAAGCTCTAAATTGAAGAAAATTTTATCTTCTTGAAGCTCAAAGCCAGTATTGCAATCTTCTTCTATTTCTTCATTCTCTTTTTTGTCATTAGGGTTAAATTTCTAGGGCTCAATTTTAAGATTTGGGAAAATGCATAATTTGAGAAAATTTTGTTATTGTGATGAAGAAGTTGTGGTGATACAGTCATGGAGTGTTGATAATCCGGGTCATCGATTTTACGGATGTCCATTTTATGATGTAAATATCAATTGTACTTTTCTAATCGATTTTATATTCCGTAATAATTTTTTCTCTTCAATTTTTTAGAGGGACAGTCGATCGGCATGTAATTTCTTTATGTGGTTTGACTCCCCAACTCCAGAGCACTTGAAAATGGTGATTTTGGGGCTGCTGAAGAAGAAGAAGAGGGCATTTGATGCATTGTTGAAGGAAATAGAAATCAAAGAAATTGGAGGAGATTATGTGTGCTGATTTTAATTGCAATTGTGTTGAAGTTGATTGTGTTAGGTAGTTCTAAAGATTGTTATATAATGTAAGAAAATGAATGAAGCTTTTTGGTAGATTATGTATCCCTTTGTTAGAAATGAATGAAATCTTTTGGCAATTGTTAATGTTGTTTTGTTTGAGTTTGTTGTTGTGTGAGTTGAATGATTTTTTTTGGCAATTATTAATGTTGTTTCTTTGACTTTGTTGCTGTGTGAGCTGATAGTGCAGTTAAAACACACCTCAAATTGTGACTGATAAAACACTGAAACATAGTCAAATAGTGGCTGATATACAGCTCAAATACTGAAATTTTTCAGAAATAACATCATACAAAAATGACAGCACAAATGCTTAACAACATACCAAAATAACAACATTCATACAACACTAAAGACACATCTGCCCAGAAATTATCAAACAACACTAAAAAGATATTTCATCATAGAGTAAAGGTGTTCATTACAGTCACCTAATAGCAGCAGTCTACCTTAACAAAAATATACGTTGCCCAGTTTTACAGCATACCAAAATAATAGCAGGCTGCCTTAACAAAATAACAACACTAACAACAAACTTAAATAGCAGTTCCAAATTAACCTAACAACAGTTCCAAAATAAATTACAGTTCCAAAGGGAAATTACAACAGTTCCAAAATAAATTACAGTTCCAAAGGGAAATTACAACAGTTCCAAAATAAATTAACAGTGACAATAACAAAATTCAGTGGTTGTTCTTGGATGTCTGGGATGATGAACTTGCTTGACTTAAATTGGATTGAGATGCGACAGTTCTGGAACGAGTTGCAGCAGTTCTTTCAAGTTGTCTTCTAGTAATGACTGATCTACCATTTTATTTTACACCATTTCTTGGCTTGTATGTACACTCCAGAATATCTGTCGAGGACCTCTTTTCACCACCATGAGAGACCACTCTTGGCTTACCTCCACCACACTGCCAAAAAGAGAAAATATTCAGTAAAGTTGTTAAAGCAAACAAGATATAAAATTAACTTTGAACTACTAACAGAAAAACTTGTGAACCCGCCGCTTGATTGAAATAGTCCAAACCCAGAGATTCCCCTACCACTACCAGTTCCTCTTCCTCTACTAGCAGCAGTTCCTCTTCCTCTACCAGCAGGGCAGAAGTAGTTGGAGTTGAAGCTCTGCCAACAGTTCCTATTCCTCTTGCTCTGCCTCTTCCTCCACATCTTTGTATATATGAAGCATTTGCTGGAGTAGAATCTGCAGGCCTTACTTTCTTAGGGCAGCTCCTCTTGTTGTGTCCATATCCACCACATTTTGAATATGCCATCTCTGTACCCCTTCTTGAAAGCTTTCCAGAAGTAGAATGTTCAGTTTCTTCTCTTCTTCTCTTCTTCTTTGGTCTGCTAGGCATCATTTTAATTGGTGGGGATTCAATTGGTGGATTGGTAGATGTTGGCCACATCTGCATGTTTGGCATAGGTTGGATGAATATTGAATATGCCTTCAGATAGGTGGATTTGTGGTACTAATGAGATATGTAGTTAATTGGGTCAATGTTCTTGAAATGCATAGCAACAATTGCATGAGCACAAGGGATACCCTTCAGCATCCATGACCTGCATGTACAAGTTTGAGCTTGCATATTCACACAATACTTCAGCACCACTCTTAATGAGGTATCCTCAACCTCATAGCCATATTCACCATTCCACTTGATTGTACACCTCATAGATTGGGCCATGTTATCCTGATACACCTTCATAGCAATTGGGGATATATCACATATCCATGTATCTGCAAACTCCCTCAATTTTCCTATTCTCTCCATCATCTTCACTCTAATTTCCTCCAACATTGTGATAATTGTCTTGTACCGAACAGCAAGTATCCAAGCCTTAAATGTCTCACACATATTGTTGTCAATTATATCACATTTCCTGTCACGGTTGAAGTATGCTCTGCACCAGGTTTCATTGTTATACCTCAAGAGGCTCTCACATATCCCATTCCCAAGCATATTCAAACTGTCCAGGTGAAAATTCAGTTCTACCACACATGATGCTCTAGCACACCCCCAGAAGTTGTATCTCCTCTCTAATCCTCTCCAATCTTTGGACCAGTTTGCTAATATATGTCTGGCACACCACCTATGTTCACTTTCAGGCAACACTTCTGATACAACTTTAAGCAATCCCTTAAACATAAAAAGAATTGAATTAGTTGCTAACAGAAACAGAAATTAGAAAAAATAAATATTGACAGAAAACAGAAACAGAAGAATATATTCACCTTTTGCATATCAGACATGATAGTAAGATCTCTTCCATCTTAAAGCTCTAAGTCATGAGTCACACACTTCATAAACCATGTCCAAGTGAAACTGTTTTCAACCTCTACAATGGCCCAAGCTATAGGAAACATCTGATTATTTCCATCCTTTGATACTGCTACAAGAAGTTGACCCTTATAAATGCCTTTCAGAAAACAACCATCAAGGACAATTATCCTTTTGCAACCTTCAGACCATCCTTTTTTCATAGCATAGAAGCAAACATAAAATGAATTGAAGACAAGCTTGCCTTCACCTTGGTCTTCTACCTTCACAACACAAGTTGTACCTGGATTTGTCTGTAATAGAATATCTCTATAATCATAGAGTCTCTTGAACTCAGCATGCACATCACCTATTATCTCCTTTAGAATTTTTGCTCTAGCTCTATGTACAGTAGACCTACCAACATACATGTCCAGTTCATCCTTAATGAGTTTCTTTAGCTCCCAAATTTTCATATTTGGTTGACACACAATCTTATCCTTGTAATGCTTTGCTAGGTATCTGGAGTTGCAAAGCTTGTTTTTATTTGTTTTGTAACACTTGTGGACAAGACAATACCTTTTTACCTTAAAATTGTTGGATCTGCCATCTTTGCTTGCAGCCAAGATCCATGGACATTTTGGTTGCATGCATCTTACCCTCATCCTACCAGGTTCATTAATATACTTTTTAATTTGAACTCCTTTCTGAATTGCATACTTACTAATAGCAAACCTAAATTGTTCAACACTCTAAAAAATCAGCCCCAACTCCCAAGTTATTTTCTTAACAGTTGGATCAAATATCAGGGCTTTCTTCCTCCTTTTGGCAGCCATTTTCTCCTTATGTCCTTCATCAAATTCATCTTCAGCATCTGAAGACCCAAAGTAAGGCTCATCTGTCCCTACTAAGCCTGTGTACCTATCTTGCTTGCTACCAGTTCTTAATTCATCAAAACCAATATCAACTCTTGCATCACCTATGTTAATATCACCTCTATGTTTTGGCCTTTCACTCCTTTTCCTCCTATACTTCCTCAGTTCATCCCTACACTCTACAAATTCTTCATGAACATCATATCCATAATCCTTATCATCAGGAACATGTAAATCTACTCCATCACTCTCATCACTATCACTATTGTCAAAGTCTGAATCATTCTCATTGTCATCCTCACCTTCGCTATTATCAAAGTCTGATTCACTATCTACTCCACTCTCTTATTCTCTTGAAGGTACAAGGGCAGGAGCTGGTTCAGGAGACAGAGAAGGGGAAGGGGAAGGGGAAGGGGTAGGTTCATGAGCAGGGGCAGATTCAGATTCACTATCTTCCTCTTCTTCTAAGACAGTTGTGCTCTTAAAAGCTCCACTATTAGACCCACAAACCCCTTTACTAGCCTCATTTATATCAACAACACATAAAGGGGCAGCATGAGTCACATAAATATCTAAGGTATCCCTATATTCCAATTCATTACAAATGTCTAAAATATCCTTGTCTGTGAGAATATTTACTAATTTATTTGTCCTATCCATTGGACAAATATAAAACTCAGCCATATTTTGAAAGTCATAGATCCTACTGTAGTTCATCGGTTCAATAAGAGACAGTAAATCCACATCTACATCTAAAGTCAATGTTTGACTATCACCCACATAACGAGCAAAGTTACCAAGAACTAATACCCCATCATGGTACCACCTGAGGGCAATGACTTTAAAAGACATTATCTGCAAACAAATAAGGGACAAATAAATGGACTTTCCACATGCAACAATTGAAAATAAAGAACTACAGATGAAATATAAAAGTGTAGACAAAGACAAGAGCATATCACATTGTTCAAAGCAATGCTATTACAATAATCAGTTAAACCCTAACATTACACACGGTTTGCAAACACAAGATAAATCTTTTTTATAAAAAAATTATCTGTAAAGGCAACAAGACGACAACTTCACAGTGATATCGACAATGACAAAAGATTCCCCTTTTAAAAAGTCTGATAACCCTAAGCAAAATAGAAGAAATTTCAAAAAAACTCTAGGTTCAACCCACCCACTACTAAAATAAACGGGTAATGCAAGGAGAAGAAAATTACTAACCTATTAACTGCATAAATCAACCGGAAATCCACGATGAAAGCGTAGCTTGAGATGGTCGCCGGAATCGCCTTTATAGTAGCTCCTTCTAGATATATCGGATTTTGAGTACTGGCTTGGGTAAGTTTGGTTTTAACGCTTTTACCTTATGGGTCTGGTAGAGTCAGTTAGGGTCGGGTAGGGTAGGGTTATTTATTATAAGGTAATGGGTTAAAATTAAGTAAAGTCAAACGCGTGACATACACGGATGTCTTATTAACAGGATCTGGTCAAAGGAGGTGGGTACTAGATACACTTTAGAAAGGTTTCTTGTGTAAGGTTATTATCGTCCACAGAAAGTGTGTAAGGGGGATTTGGGCCAAAGGTTGGGTGGTAAACTATGTATTAAACCTATTGTTAAATATATGTCGTTATGTAATGATAAAAAAATGCCACTTAATGGAACGATTGATTTGGTGTAGTTGCATCGCTATCTATTTTTTTTCCTCATCTTTGTCTTTTTATTAAATAATCATATTATATCCTTTGCCCTACCTTTTATATAATAATTTTATCTCGTACCTTACTTATTTTTATAATATTACAAGTTTATTCTTCATAGTGTTAGTGCATGATATCATGAAACGGCGGCAACCAATACAATCTATCCAACTATTGTATACATCAAAACGATACAATAAAATATTACACGGTGCATTATAAACGATACATAACAATCATCAAAACAAGCTATTGGGCAAAACCAGAAATATTTATTTAAATTTTGTACATTTTGGTTTTCGAATTTTAGATTTTCGAATATCCATCCGAGATTTGTATAACTTATATTTAGTCCTACCCATTAGATACTAGCCCATACTTTGTATTAAGTCCAAGACCCTACTAATTTTTAGATTTTCTTTACGTCCATAATACTTTTTATGTGCACATATTTTTACTATGTTTGGACTTGTTTATTCTCAAGCCCTTATCTATTGCTAGGAATTTATCTTAATCGTTTCATTGTTTGCATGAATACCTATTTGAATTATTGTAGTGAAGTGTGGAATTATTTAGGAAATTGTATAGGATAAAATATGTTTATATTAAATACTCGCATAATAAAGCGACACGTGTAGCCGAAGGCAGAAGGCAGCCAGGTCCGAAGACGACAATATCGCTTGTCCCCGAAAGGAATTATGCTCTTAAAAGCGAGATAAATGCCTGCCACCCGGTGATATTTAATGGAGAATATTCTATAGCATTAAGTATGTAGTCCGTTATAGAGAATATGGCATGTACTACATATTGTTACACATTCTTCAATGCCCTCCATAATTATCATTTAAGAGGGGCTCGATCCTAGGATCTTGCTCCCTAGGTACCACTATAAATAGGTATTCCAACAACCATTTTAAGGGAGAGAATTTTCTGAGAAGCTTATAATATATATTGTTCAAAGCTCAGTAATATTTTATCTTCTTGCTTATTAATATTGTTACTGTTGCCTCCGGAAGCTCTACTCCCTGAACCAAGATTTCTATTGTCTTATCTCGATTTTCATGCTAAGTCTTACATTCTTGTTTAATTTATTTATCATTTTGGGATAAAATCGATTCACTTGTCTATAAACCACGTACAAATTCAACTATACCGTTTTACGAGTAAATAGTTTAGTGCTCACCGTGGGGCTAGACAATTGTATAATTGAGTTGATCCTTTTACTAACCTGTTTGATTCTTTGTTCTTAGCAAAAATCATAGAAAATGGTAGGTAACTATGTCAACATCGCACACAACATTGAGTCCCATGAAAATCAGCCTCAGCATGAAGATACAATCAGTGATACCCGCAATGAGGGGGATGAGGACACACCAGTCGACAATGAACAATTTATGCGACATGTTCGAGAGGCAACTCCTAATGATGTTGAAGACGAGCACGTCGTTGAAACAGTAAGGATCATGATGGAGCAACAAAAAGCCATTATGGGTCACCTTTCACGACGGGACCAGGTCATGACGGAGTTGAACCAGGCGTTGTTGGGTGCTTCCAATAATGCGAATGGACGAGGTCCAGTTCCTCCTGGTGCTCCTGTAAATCAAATAATGCAGAGGGTCGACAACAATACCCCGAAGGGGGAAGTCGGATTCGATAGGGACGAGGGGAATGGTAGCGGATCTAGTAACAACAATGAGAATGATCCCTTTAAAACCAAAATCATGCGGTTTATGACGGAAATAAATGCCTAAATGGATCAAATTTCGGGCGCACCACCAGTGTTGAAAGGACCGGATTCAAGGAAATATACCCAACTGCCGTTCAAACTAAGCATGGCACCAGAATTGATCCTAAAAGGGTTCAAAATACTAGACGTGTCGAAGTATGATAGAAGTTCGAATACTCAAGAGCACATCACCACCTATACAATGGCGGTAAAAGGGAACAATTTAGCTCCCCACGAGATTGAATCGGTCTTACTGAAGAAATTCAGGGAGACCTTCACGAAGGGAGCCCTAACATGGTATTCGCTTTTGCCCAAGCACTCAATATATTACTTCGAGATACTCGCGGATTCTTTTATCAAGGCCCATGTCGGGGCCAGAAGGGTATAGGCCCGAAAGGCCGACATATTTAGGATTGCATAAGAAGAGTCCGAATTGTTGCGGGAGTTCGTGGTCAGATTTTAGAAGGAAAGGATTGTTCTACCGGTCGTATCGGACGAATGGGCAGCTGAAGCATTCACTAACAGTCTGAACCGAGAAGTCTTGACACTTCCCGAAAATTAAAAGAAAGCTTGCTCGAGTTCCAGGCAACAACATGGGCATATATTTACAACCGGTACGAGTCAAAGATAAGAATTGAGGATGATCAGCTTGATTTTCCGGCATCAACCAAAGGTCGAGACCGGGAGAAGAATAAGGAGAAGTCAAAGGATGATTTCAATGCCGATCGACGGTCTTCAAGAGGTAGGTTTTTGCCCTATGAAAGGGCCGAAGGACACATTTCGGTTGGCGGATAGATTTGCAACTGATAGGAGAGCTGATCGCGACCGGAATAACAGATCACTACAAGAAAAGGAGAAATCGGGTTCCCGAGACTCCTCCTACCCTAGGCTTTCCAAATACAACTTCAATGTCAGCGTAGTGGAGCTAGTATCGACTGTGAGGAATATTAAGGAAGCACGATTTCCAAAGCCAATGAGATCTGATCCCATTCAAATGAATGCTAATTTGTGGTGCGAACACCATAGGACCAACAACTACTAGATTGGGGAATGCCAACATCAATACGAGGAGGTGACAACATTGATGAATAACGCTCATCTCAGAGAACTCTTGAGTGATCGGCTAAAAATAATAACGTCTGCAATTGTGATAACGCGAAACTTTCGAAAGTAGGAGAAGATCCTCCATGTTTGACGATCAACATGATTTTTTGGAGGAAAAAGATTAATGGTGTGACATTTACTACGTCAAAAATGACGAAAGTGTTATTGACCAATAGTAAGAGACTTCGGAAAGTCATT